TGTTCGTGTCTTTCTCTTCTGGTCGGTCTTTGAACTATTATTTGCAGCTCGATTAAATTAGAACCTAATAATTTTTAAAAGACTTTTTGTCACAGAACTGTACTCTTTACCGCTTTATTACAGATAACACTTCACCGAAGCCTGAAAATTAAACCTTAAACTAGGAAGAGAAAAAGGGTTTTTGTTTATCAGTCTTTTAACAGTGCAGGAATATTTTCGTGTATTGAAGTTTCCCAATATTACTATTGTCTTAATTGCAGATAATGATGATCTTTCTTAAATCGTTGACAGTATAAGAAATAAAAATAAAACCAGGCAATGTTTTCAAAATGCAACAGTTCTTGAATTGTTTAAACAATATTTTTATTTCGTTACTAATACAATACCTTGTTACAATGACGCATTTGTTCTGACGTAAAAGGTTAATTATAAGAATCTTAAAATTGTGTTTGTTTTGTGTGAACCTAATTATAATAGATCATAATAGGGTGAAATAAACTCTATTGTATTTTAAAAGCGCAGTTATAAGCGCAGTATAAATGTAAATGTAATTGCAATTGTAAATGCAAATTTTTACTTACGTACTTACTATGGGTGCATCACTGGTCTGAATTAAGTTATTATTATTATAAACTTGGTATGAGAGTTGAAGGGTACAAGAGAAGAGGCAGACCGAAGAAGAGGTGGATGGACTGCGTCAGGGAGGATATGGCTAGGAAGGGAGTAAACAGTGAGATGACGCATGACAGAGTAGAATGGAAAAATCATACATACTGCGCCGACCCCAAATAAAATTGGGAAAAGGGTAGGCAGATGAAACTCATCTAACTGATAATAAAAAGTAAAAAAAAAATATTTAAGTATATATTTACATGAGCTAGATGATTACATATTTACGAGTATATTTATCTTGATGTATCAATAGCCGTACGGCGCAGAAAGAGAGAAAAATAAAAAACACGTAGCAGAAGGAAATACACACAAATTAATTGAATAGAAGTTAATTACAATCGTTTATGCTTTCTGTTCTACTATTCATATCTAGTATATAAAAGATCCTTTATAAATACGTTGGCATTAATTCTACACTCGCTATACATTTGGTCTGGGTGTTTCTATGTATGTTATAATATATATGTATTTACAAAAAAAGTATATATGTGTTTATATCAGTTGTCTAGTACCCATAGATCAAACTCTGCTTAGTTTGGAACTAGATGGCGTTGTGTGAATAATATTATTTGGTAATATGAATAACATTTGATGTGGAAAAGCCCTTTTTTTTAAACAAAGATGACATTTTATTTACTACAGCGAGGGGTGTTTCACCTTTATAAGTATAATCTTACTTACTTTTATTATGTACTAGCAATTCGCCCCGGCTCCGCACTGGTGTAATGCAGATACTACTAATACTATTATACTAATGTGGTGTTAGTGTGGAATAATTAAATATAATATTATAATGATGGGACTATACATCTTTAAATGTAATATTTATAGGTCAGCTCCAGCCTCCGATCCTTTCGGCCGATGCCACCCAGGACGGACGTAAGGATCGACGGTCTTTGGGCCACCGCATTTTAAACCTCTAATATTTTCTAAACTTTTAATGATATTATGATAATAATAAAGTTTTCATTTCTGAAAGACAAAGTATCCATTAAGTGTTAGTATTACATTTAATTATTATCTAGTGTTAGTACCAATAACGCTCTGCACATAGAGTTTTATAATCGGAGAGTTGAAACTATCCGCTATAGTTTTCGGCTTCCGTGAGACGGTTCTCGTGTTGAAAACGTTGATCCTTTCCTCTCAATCCGACCCTCCAATTTAGACAGTTGTGTACTTATAAATCGCCTCTGGTCAGCTTCTTGCTGGCGCTGGTTTCTTGTACGGATGCCTTTCGTGTCTTCTTTGGGTTAAACCGGCATACTTTTATCCCACTTCTGACACCAAATTGTTACGAGCGGTGTGTATAATAAATAAAAGTTGTCGGTTAATTACTTTTATTTCACTGTAATTACAAACATCTCTCTATTACAAACAACAAATCACTATAAAACTTGTTAGTCGTACTAGAAATTCGCTTCGATGTTAATTCGCTGTGTCGTAAAACGATAATGTGTCGTACGGCCAACACGCTCCGCTTTTATAGTGGTATCGAATTTACTAGAATGATCCCTAGTATTCAATATTCCGTTTCAGAAAATAAGAATATTCCAGTATCAGTTGCGCGTTACCTGAAGCGCCATTTAACGCTGTAAGTATCAGAATTATTGATAGCAAACTCAATAGTTGTAATTTACGTGATACTAGATGGCGCTTTCCTCCAGACACACAAGAATCACTCAATAATACAGCGCAACAATACCATCATCGTTTATAAGACTAAACGAAGACGTTTACGAATTCATAAACGTGGGTATATTTCCAGATAGCAAAAATCATATTTTTACTGTATAAATGCACTTGGAAACAAGTTTAATCAAATTAACTGTTGTTTTCTTAAGTAAATATTTAAACCTAATCTGATAGGATCGAAGTAAAGTTACGATAAAGGAATAATTAATAAAGTATAACGAGGTTAACTAGTTAACAAAAGGGAAATAAGATCAATAAATACCGGTTATATTAGTATTTCAACATAGTGATTACAAAAGCAGTCAATGTTTATTTCTGGCAGAAGTATGTTTAGTGTTAAGTTAAAACCTATTTTGGTATTGTCCAGTGACTTTTACACCAGGTAAGTTTTTTCATCATCAATTTCATTGCATATAGGTGTCTATTTTTATAGCTTTAAATTTTTGATTTTTATTTTGTAAGAAGTGTTTTCATAACTATTGATCTGATATTAAATGTAAATGAATGAAGACTAAATAAGTTGAGTGGGTAGACTAGTATGTTTCAACTATAAAATATATTGTTTATATGTTATTTACGTTAAGGTTCATAGCATTTTAAAGGATGGGCACCGGAAAATAAGTTAAAATTAGTTTCAACTAAATTTCCTTGAAAGAAACATGCCATGCTGTTTTTGGCTCACACTTAATAACAATAGATTTATTTTGAGAAACAAAAGGGATGCAGGCATTGTCAAGTAAAAAACAAAAAAAAAAAAAGTGTTGCAAGTACGGATGGCAATCTTTGGTCTAAGGTTTAGTATAAATTTTACTACAGGGATACTTGTCATATCATACATCATGGCGATTCCGAGCCCGATTTATTACTTGTAGTTAAGATTTGTATGTAAGATAATAATATATTTTAATGCAAGTTAAACAATGACGTTTGTTAATTAGGTATAATAGGCGGTATTATCTATTCACCCTTAGTTTGGACAATTGCAAAACTGCCTCAATTCACACCTATATTAAATAAAATAATATCACCCATAACACTAACATAACATTATCTAAATAGAAATTAGAACAACATAGCACTAAATACACTCTAGGGATGGTAAAATATACATATATGTGTCGTCGTGCGCAAATTTATGCAGCAGTCCACCGATTGGGTGATGCATATCTTCTATATGTCGAGATAGATCACGTTTCGATTACAAATTACAAAACAGAATCCAAATAATTAGACAGAAGGACAATATTACACTTAGTTTTTACTATGAATTTCTACTTAATTCTTTCTTAACGCTGCTAAAAAGATTACACGTTTGGACAGCGAAACAATAGGCAATACCATCCGCTTTTCCTTTTGACGCACTGTATTCCAAAAACACAATTAGTTCACACATTTAGATAATCATAAGGAAAAAATGCAATGACGAATGAGCAGACAGTTAGTGGTGAATTGTAAGGCTCTGTTTAGATGATGAACGTTAAACACTTGGATCCAATTATGTTTAAGTCGAACACAGCCTATATGTATAATATTAGGACGCATGTTCTAGCTCGCGCTATTTTAATAGTCTCACCATCAAAATTTTGACAATTATATGGATCTATTTTTATTTAAAACATTTTATACAGGTATATCTTACGATTTTTATTATTTCATAGGTCTGTCTATGATTAAATAACAATTTAAGTAAAATATTAAAAAACAGTCCTCGAGGAAAGTACGTCTATTTGAATCCTAAAAATGAAACAATGTGTATACTACGCATTTAAAAATAATATTCGTACATTATTTAATTTAAATAAATTGTATCCGAAGAAACGTGTGACATGCAATAATGCAAGCCGTTCTCAAGTGCACGTTCAAAGCCTCTCATATGAACACACCTTTAGTTGTTTATTGCAGTTGGCTGAATTCATATATATATGTCTACGTGAATAGCCATTGTCAGTCAGTTTTGTAATGAATTAACTCTGATTTGTCTGCATTGTTGAAATAAGGAAATTTGTGAAGAAAATTTACTGTCAGAAATTTTGTAGAATCGTGTAAATCATTTTCAAAAATTAACGACTTTATAAACTGTTAAAATGATTAAACAAATAAGTGAAAAAATGTTGTTGTCTTCATATAATTCCCAGATAAGGTTTAAATTTGTTATAGTAAAATTTATAAAAGATTATGTTATTTGAAGTATTTGAGAAAAAAATCAACTAATTTGTTTAATTTAAATTGCAATTGCATAGATAAAAAAAATGCTTTCAAAAATAACCAATTTCATGCATATAATTGAAGTTACGTACCTATTTATTCTAACTTAGAATGTATTTGATTTTAGAAAAGTCAGTTACCTTGCGTCAACAACACAAAACAAAAAAAATACAATTGATTTGAAATCATGGAAGAAAATTCCTGGACCATCATCTTTACCTGTTTTGGGGCAAATTCATCATTTTCTTTTACCTGGAGGTATGTTGTTTAATTTTGATACAATATTAATTTTAGTAACTAATAATATTTAACAGATATTTAAATTTATTTAAGGTATTTTCAATTCCACTGACGGTGGCCACGATCTTTGGGATAAATTATATAACACATATGGTCCAATAGTAAGAATAAATACCATTTTCAAGCCAAATATGATTGTCGTATTTGACGGTGATATAGCGGCAGAGGTAAGTTGGGCTACTTTACTTATTTATTTACTTTATTTTATCACTAACACATCATGCAAACTTGAATTGCAATTGTTTAAAAATAGTTTTAAGCTATGTTTCTAGTATTGTATTTTGTTTTTATAAGAGTTCTTATCCTTGGCATGAGATTTTAAGCTAAATCTTTTTCATTGTAGATGTATCACCGTGAAAATATGCTACCTTTACGGCCAGCATTTTTTTCTTTCGCATACTTTAAAAAGTATCATAACAGACCAAAGGACCAGCATACAAAACCATCTGGATTAGTAACAGAGTAAGTTTAGAATTTAGTGGCTATTGTTAAAAATAACACACTAATTATAATACGGTTATTACGTGGCTAACTTTTGTATAATTTTAGAAACGGAGAAAATTGGAAGTGGTTTCGATCCAAAGTCAATTCCACTATGCTAGATCCAAAAAACGTGCAAAGATATAGCACTCAAATTGATGAAGTAGCCCTGGATATGATAGAAAGGTAGTAAGATGTTACATATTTTATATTACGATTACGAGTTCAGCTTAATAATAAGTTAAATTTCTTTACAGAATAAGGAGCTTGCGAGATCATAACAATGTATTTTGTGGAGAGTTCGATAAGGAAATGAATTTGTGGGCCTTGGAATCTGTTGCAGTAATAGCGCTGGGCCGTCGAATCAACTGTTTTGCACCTAAAACAGATGATGTTTTAGTAGAAAAGTTAATAAACTGTACTCATGAACTATTCGAAATTGCAAGTAACTTGGATTACAAACCAAGCATTTGGAAATATTACGCAACAAAGAATTTTAAAAATGCTATGCAAGTATATGGAGACATTGAATAGTGAGTGTACTTACTTTTTTGACCAGGTATTTGTAAAGTGGATAGATCGCTATTCATATCGCATAGGAGATACCTACTAACCTAATAGAGCTAAATGTGAATTTTCTATGTCTTATTATATGTTTATTTGATATACTTTGCCGGATATGAATATGCTGAGATCTCGGGTTCGATTCCCGGGCCGGACCAATTGCTTTTATGATCTGCAAATATTTGCAATTCATAAAATAATTCATGTAATTCTTTATTATTTATAAATTATTTAATGCTGGTATCTGACACGAGCCGCTAAACTTTTTCTCTATGAGCCGACAGCTAAATTTTTTCTCTATGAGGGTAATATCGTTAACGTTTAAATTATTTCTACTAAGAGATGATTGTGTCTGTTTGTAATTGCTTGACTTGTCTGACTGTAAAAAAAATCTTACTATTCTACAGGTGTTAAGAGTAGCGGCTTTTTGGAGGCTTTTATATGTACGAGGGAGTAAATCTAACATTTTTATTGATTGGTGAAGTTGTCTTGGGATTACACCCGTAGTTGATAGGGCTATGGGAACAATATTAACTGTGTTTAGTCGCCACATTCCTGCAATTTCTAATTTGAGGTCTGAATACTTTGAAAGTTTCTCTGCTATGGTATTTTGTAGGATTTGTGTGATTCGTACAGCGATGTCTATAATTTGTGCAGTTCTATTAATATTATCTAGTAAGGTTATGTCAGGTCTATTGTAATGTATGTTGAAATTGCACGGTCAAAGTTTAGCTTAATATTTAATAAATTTGTGAATATTTGTAATAGGATGTTGGCGGCGAGATGGTCAGTTTATATTTTATTGCTAGTTTTTGATGGATAATGTTAGCTATTTGATCATGTCTGTGTCAGTTTAAACTATTGTTTTACATGCTCCTGTAATATGTGGGATAGTTTCTGAGGTGCTTGACATCGTCTGCAAACGTCTACTGTTGAAGGAACACGCATAATATGTTTTTGGTAATTACGGATCTCTATAACCTAGTCTTGAATTGCTGCATGAAACCCTCTGTCTCGGGGAATAGGTCTCCATTACTTAACCATGCGGTCGATGCAATCTTATCGACATTAGGTTTGTGTGATTCGTGAAGATGTCTTCCGTGTAGCGACTTCGGGCCCCATGTTTCAATTTTCGTGTGTACGTCAGTCTGCCTTTCATTGTTTTGTATATCATCACCAAACATATTTAAAGGAGTTAATCTTAGGTGATTAAACACTATTGCTCTATGTAAGGTACATTCGTTGCTTTTTACCAGGAAGTATGCTATTGCTTTGATTATTGTGTAGATTTGTGATATCAATAATACCCCTTCTTCCTTCTTTCCCAGGTAGTTTTAGCCGTTGAATACATGCCTTGGGGTGGTGCTTCCTATGTTTTGTCATCATAGTACGTAAAATCCATTGTAAATTTTGCAGTTCAGTGTTTGTCCACTTTATAACGCCAAATGAATAAGTTAGGATTGGATTTGCGAATGTGTTAATAGCTTTAACGCTATTTCGAGCGTATAGTTGAGAATTTAATATTGAGCCTGTGTTTAAACTGTGAAATCAATCTACTTTTAATTTCTTTATGGTAAATTAGTTTTGATTGTATGGAACCTTCATACTTATAATATTCTGCTTCTCCTAACGACTCTATCATATCTCCGGTCTGGGTTTGGTAGGCATGTTGTTTATTTTTTCCTGCTTTAACTGAATTAATTTCACATTTATTTAAGCCAAATTCTATTTTTATATCAATAGAGAACCGTTCTGTGATGTCTGCTAACTCAATTAAATCATCTGGTGTAGTGGCATATAATTCGATATCGTCAATGTAGAGAAGATGGTTATTTTTTTGGTCCTGTTTGTCTCTTAATCTGTTATCTATTATATTATTATAATTTAGCAAATAGCTCAAGGAATCTCTTTGAAATATACCTCCCTGTATTTTTATTGGTTCTGTCTTAATGGTTCCTGTAGATAATTTAATTCGTAATCGTGCTGTTCAAAATATTATACAAAAACCTGATTTTATAAGGGTGAATTTTGTAAATTTCTAACACCTGTTTGAGCCAACTATGAGGGACGGAATCGTATGCTTTTTTGTAATCTATGTCCTCCTCCTCCTCCTCGCTTCGGTTGCCTCAATGCTGATGGTCGAGGTAATCTATGTACATACTACATTAGTCTTTCTTGTTTCGTTGAACATGATACTGTATTATGAAATCTATAATTAAATGCTCTTTACAACCCTGACTAAATTTTCTGCAGCCCCTTTGTTCCTCTGTAAATATTGGGTTAGTGTCGAGATGTCCGCAAAGTAAGTGAGTGATGCATGATGTAATTATTTTATATATAGTTTGTAGGCAAGTTATAGATCCATACTTGGCTGTATTAGAAGGATCACTAATGTCTTTTAGCAGCATGAATGTAATGGGTTCTGTGATATAAGTAGGTATTGTGTCGGGGTGTGTTATGAAATGGTTTATATGATTATGCAGGTGTAGGTGAATATGAGTAAATTTCTTGTGCCAATAATTAACACGTCTTTAAATGTTGCTAAGTCCACACACTCAAAATTCATCTCTTCAATGAGAATAGTACTCGATGTCTATGTTTCAATCCATTCAGCTTTTTTATTGTGGGAAACAGAATTTTGCCATATATCGGACTAAAACTTATGGAGTTTTTTTAACGGTGGGCAGCTAGTAATGTTGTTTTATGTCTTTCGTAATATACATTTTGTATATCTGCTTAATCTACTTTTAACTACTGTTAGTTTTTGTTTAAAAGTGTCTAAAAAGTGTTATAATTATGATTTAGGTTCTTCGTGAGTTGAGTGTATCTTATGTTTCTCTAGTATAATATTCACTTTCGCGACAAGATTTCTGTTTCAATTTCCATTTGTGTATACCGTTAATGTCATTGGCATTTGTACCTTTAAGTTTAATATGCACGCTATTTAGGTCGTAATTTGAGACGTTTATAGGATAGGTACTGTTCCGTTATCATAATAAATACAGATTTTATTATAGCACTCAAAGGAAACAAATTTCATCGGTCACCTTGCCGCTTCTTTATGCGCTGAATGTTGTGGGTTCGATCCAGACATGGCACAACACTTTGTGTGATTCATAAATTGTTTTTCTGAGTCTGGGTATTTTTTATATCAGTTTCATGAATGTTTGTAAAGATCTCCGCGACACAGGATAAATTCCTAGTGAGGGATTGTCTTTAAAAAATTATACACAAATATAGTTGCTCTAATCCAGATGTCTTAGCGTATATGTGTCTATAAGTTTAGCGGCATAATATTTTTTTTTACTTTTTAAAAGTGAATAAAGAAAAATTTTTTTTTTTCAGTATAACTAAACATTATGTCAACATGACACTAGAAAATCTTAAAACAAAGGCAAACAACACCCATGAGGAAAAAAGTATTCTTGAAAAATTACTTGAAATAGACGAAAATGTTGCTCATATTATGTCAATGGATATGTTAGTCGCTGGAATAGATACGGTAGGTTTGACACTCTAGCTAATCAATACTAATATCATAAAGTTTGAATGTGTGAATGTTTGTTACTCCATCACGCCAGAACGGGTCATCGGAATCTGATCCGAAATTTAGTACAAAGAGTAGTCTGGAATGGGATTTATGGCCAGAAAAAAATTTTGATTTCGATATTACCTAATGCGAAACTTGTGTATAAGCTTGTATAATATACGTGACTCATTTTGTCTCTTGCTTCTTTTCGCTACGGTTTTAATTTTATAATACTTAACCGTCCATCATGTATTTTTTCAAATACTTAATCAGAAGTGTAATCTATGTCATCTAGACATAGATTACGTTTCATCCCAAAAAAGATGGCAAAGTAACTGAAAAACTTACAAACAACAAAGGCCAGTAAAGTATAACTGTGTAAACTGCTGTAACAAATATCTATATTGTAATAATGAGTTTCGTTTATTTCTTTTCTTTTAGACTTCAAATACTCTTTCGGCAACGCTGTACCTCCTTGCTACTCATCCAAAGATACAGCAAAAATTGAGGGATAACATTCTTTTGGATCCGAAAACTCCGTATTTGACAGCATGTATCAAAGAATCCATGCGAATGCGTCCAGTAGCAGGACTTAATGTTAGAGAAACTACTAAAGACTATGAAATCTTGGGATACAATATACCTAAAGGGGTAAATAAAAAATCACAATTTTGTAGTGTTTTTTTTTTTTTGCTTTTCCTTACCATTACTTAATTATTTTTTTGTTTCTAGACCTCTCTTCTATTTTGTCATCAATATATGTCGACAATGGAGAAGCATTTTCCAAAAGCTAATGAATACATACCAGAAAGATGGTTAAGCAGTGAGAAAAATCCAATGTATCCTGGCGCTGGTCATAAATTTGCTTCTCTGCCATTTGGATTTGGGTCTCGTAGCTGTATAGGTAGGTATTCAACACTATATTACACCTTCTAACAAAACTTGTAGCATTTTTAAACTTTTACAATCTAAGATACAAAATTATTCATTTGGTATTTAATTAATAAACTAATATTGGCGATTTTTAATCGGCCAATGCAGCCTGATTGAAACCACAAGCAATTTAAAGATCGTGTTAATTTCCAAAATACTAATTATAAAAGCTTTACAAAATTGAAATTAGCATGTGAGTAAATAAAAAGACTTTACCAATTTAAATTTGGATTACTTACTTACATGCATCAAAAATTCCTCCGCATACAGCCACATACTGGTAACTTTCCCAAAAAGCAACATTAGTACCTCACATGATAATGTATTATTTACAAGCATTTTAAATTTCAGGTCAACGCATTGCTGATTTAGAATTGAAAACATTTCTATCGAGACTTATAGAAAAATTTGAAATAAGTTGGTTCGGTGACCCGCCGAAGATTCATCCTACTCATATCAACCAAGTTATAAGTCCCAATAATTTTATCTTTAAAGACATTTGAAGAATAATCTGTATAATATTATGTCCAACCTTCAAGACAACCGTAGAACAAGAGTACTATATATACAAGCCTCATGTAATAAACTTGTAGGTATGTAATTTTACCTTGGATTGGTATGAATGTAATCTAGCTTCTAGATAATTAAATGGCGATGCTATAGAAAATAGTAATCGTTTTTTCATAGACACAACATACTCAGTACGAGAAACATCTTGAGATTCTTTAGATGAAAATACATAATATATCATGTTTCTATGAGCTTTTACATGGCGTTAGTAATAGGTATTCTTCCAACTCTTTGAAGACCGTGAATAACTGGAGAGTCAACGATGGTACCACCATTTATTAATTTGATAAAATATGATATTAAATGATTATTATTTTTTACTTTAAATTCTTATATTAAATTCTATCCTCTCAATTTTAGCTACATGAGTGTGATTTATCTGATATTTAATGATTATACATATTAAACGTGTGAATCGTGACTTAATCGAAGTAGTTTTAGTGTTCGTGACCACGATCAGTGCAATTGGATCGAAAGGTCAGGTAACCTTAATGATTAGGAATCTATTATGTTTAATCGTAATCACATCCCTATAAATAGCTATGTTTACGAGTATAATTATTTACGATTAATACTAATAATGATTAAAGCTAACGTTAAGATGGAAATTCTAGTATCTATCCAATATTGAGTATCTAGGCATTATCGTGTAAGTAATTTATTCATTAGCAAATCGTATGTTGAATTATAATTTTATGTTTAAGCGACAAGCCTATTGTCGTTATATAAACATACGAGCGGTATATTACAGCAAATAAAATGTTAAGTTTATCATTTTTGTTTTATTAACTATGTCAACTTATCCAAACTATTATTCTGGCAAAGTCTGTCATTGTCAACAGACTAAACAAAGTTCATACTACACATCGACAATCAGTAGCCATTTTTCTATTCTTTCTTCTCCACATTCAAAGGCCTCCCCAAGGAATAAGTATCATATCCTTGGTAAATACAAACACAAAAAAATGGCGCTCTATAATATGTATACTGTCGACGAAACAGTAGTTTCACTTAAGCTGACAAATCCCAACTGTTGGTAGTGCTATCGTTACACCAACTAGTGCTCAAAATACCCCATGGCTTTTCTTCACTGCTACAATATTTCGTGGTCGTATAACATGACAGCCATGACACGAATTGCACAAAGTGGTCATAAGAACCATAATAAGAACTTTGCGTTTTAGTCTTTCTGTGAGTATATAATTGCATTATGAGCTATTTTCGCTTAGTTATAACAATAATATTTATTGTACCAGTTGTGAAAAACTGTATGCACAGAACTTTTTATAACTCTTCTTAAATTATTATTAAAGTTAACAATTGCTCTTTTCAACTGGGGTACGTAATTCTTGCTTAGCCTACGTTAAAATTCCTCGTGATTTTTACAAACAAGTACATATTCATTGGAAATAACAGTGATAACGAAACATTAGAAAACCTATAACTCAATTATCGTTTTTAGCCTTTAAGCGTAACAAATACACCACATGAATATTTAAATGCATATTATAGACACCAACGTGGAAGAAAAATCTAAAACAGACACAAAACTTAGAGAAAAAGCAATTAAATATTACCTAACAACATATAGGTTTGTTCAAACAAAGGGTTTTAATCTAGGCTGAAAGCATTTTGAAAAGATTATTATATGATTGATTTGACTTTAACTGACTGAAAATCTGACTTGGCTATAATTTAAAGGAAACTTTATTCACTTGAGGCAGTGAAGTGATAACTATTGCGTCAAATATGAAACTGGGGGCAAGGGCACTACCTACCTTTTCTCGAAACGATTTGTCTGTTTTTTAACCCTCATAACTGGAGTTTGGATTATACTAGATAAACAAAATTCTTGGGATATGATGTCAATAGCAAACTTATCAAACATATAAAATTTCAATTACAAAGCTCCTTACTTTAGATTTTATTGATTTCTAAAAAAATCCCTATTTTGTCCCTGATAATCATCAAAAATCTTAGGGTACTTCCTGAAGTTCTAGAAAGCTGTGATTTTGAATGTAAACTCGGACTAGTAAGCAAATAATAAAAAAAAATTAAAACTTGGAACTTTGACCCCCCAATCTTAAACTAGGTCATGGAAGTTTGTATGAGACTTCCGAAATTTTGATGCTAGAGGTCTTAAAATTGATATAGGGACTCCTTGTTTTAAATAATAAAATACATATTAACCTTGTCATAAGCAACTTACAAAAAAAAAAGTAAAATTCCACCGAAAACATATTCATGTAAAATGTTGCCAAGACGAGACCACATGTCTCACACTGTCAAAAAGTTATCAGATCTCGTGTAGAACCAAGCTTCTAACCTTACACGCCCTAAATCTACAAGTGCCAACTCTACACCCTAAGTCAAAATATGTGGCTTGGCCATTTTGTTGCGCTGATATAAAGCTGACATAGCTAAGGTTTACTTATTGAGTATCGGACTTGGCATCGATTTCAAATAGACTAGAATGTTACCTATTTTAATATTACCTGTTGTATTGAGGGTTGCATTTGTTTTAGATTTTGCAATTTGTAATTATTTTTTAATTTTTAGTGATCTTTCTTAATATTGCTTAAAGTTGATACAAGATTATAAATAAGTTTGTACAATAAATAATAATAAAATTTTTAGCAAGACATTTGACTCGTTAAACATACAAACATTTGGGAAACATTAAGAGAACTAGGGATAGGACAAAAATATATAAGATTGATCAGAAATGTATGCATAAACAGCTCAGCGTGCATTTAGCTAGAAAAGAAAAGAGATTCATTGAAGATACAGAAAGGAGAAAGACAAGGAAATCCTCTCTCTCCAAAACTATTCTCCGCTGTTTTGGAAATGTACTTCAGAACCTTGGAATGAGAAAATCTGGGTCTAAATTTCACCGGCTGCCAACTAACACACTATAGATTTGCCGCCATATTATGTTATTAGCAAAAACGACAGGAGACCTAAATATGGGCACGCCATTATCGCGGCGGTAAGACCCGTTATGGAGGATTGGCTCGAGAGGCATCACGAGACCCTCTCATACCGGTTGACGCAGGTAATCACTGGAAAAGGACGCTTCGGGGAGCACAACGGGAACATGGGAGTTCCCACACAGGATTAACTCCCTCTACCCGCTGTAGATGGCCCTGGTAGATGTTGGATAGCCGATTTCCTTTCTACGGCGTGCGGTTTTTAGTTGGTTCAAGTCCAACATAGCAGCCTAGCATAGCAAAAAAATAAAATAAAAAAGGAGACCTAATTAGACACACTTCCACGGTGTTACTCACGTTTGACTTCGTATGCTAACAATTTAAATATTGTTTTCTGTGTTTTTAAAGAATATCAGTAAGTTTTTACTGTTTTTATGCAGAAATTTAGTGCTAAATTCTTTTATTACAGCTATTGGTAAGTAAATTTTCTTTTTTCATTGGCTAGGAGGTATACTTTGTTTGTACTCGTATTGTTTTTTCTTTGAGTGTTGTTTATTTTTAAGCTTGTTCTTTTTGAAATTGTTGTTTGGTGTGTCTTTGTTTGGCTATGTCGGTTGTTAGCGAGTTGCCGATTCCCGGCGGTACAAGTGAATTTCTAACACCAACCGGGTAAAGGTTATTTGGCGAAATGTCACCTACGGATTTCTCGCCGAAAGACAATAGACGTAAATGCATTAATATCAACTGCGACATGGGGTCTTTCATTTAAAACACTAAAGATCATATACGGCGCTACTTATTTAGGTTCTATGTACTATGGGCCGATAGACAACGTCGCTCAGTGGTATTCTTGTGCAAGGCATATAGGACGGTTATCACTGAGGCTTTGCTGGTTTTGGGTTGTGCTTCCGGTCGATCTCGACATGCAGATAGCACCTGCAGCCATTAAAGACAACTAAACATAGAATGCGATTTTTTGGGCGCACGAGATCGCTATAAAATTACAAGATTGCTTCAACAGCAGTCCGATGTCTATAATGACCTGGAAACAACGCTGGGACTAATCATCCAAGGGGCGCCACCTTTAGCAGTTCTTTCCATCTGTTTGCGAACGGTTGTCGAGGACATAGCTTGAGGTGGATCACTGTATCGCTCAATTTCTTATGGGTAATAGTATCTTTTAGAGGAAGCTGTATTCATTTAAATTATTCGAGTCACCATTGTGTCTATGCTCAACATCTAACTCTACCTGTGATCCTCTGAGAATGTAGTCTTTGGTATAATTAACGTAATTTAATGACATCTGGGGCGGTATACTATGGGGATCGAGTGTCAACTAGAGTCAATTTCCGTGCGTTTAGGCGATTCGGCCATACATGTTATAGAAATCAAATATAGCTCACTTCATCATCATCATCATCAACAGCCTTTAATAGTCCACTGCTGGACGTAAGCCTCTCCTCAGAAAGGAGGTTTTGGCCTATACTATACCACGCTGGCCAGACGGGTTGGTATAGGGTTTGTGTCAAGTTAGAGAGGAGATGCTGGAGAGTCTCGAGCGTGACCCCTGGGGTCGCCCTTATCGTGCGGTGCGTCAAAAGCTCCGCACGTCGGGCCCCCCCCTTACGGAGACTCTCCAGCCCAGCTTCCTGCAGGAAGTGGTCGAGGGCCTATTCCCGTCGATGGCTGTATCAGCCGGAGACGACGGAGGCAGCGAGGGTGATGTTCCGCCCGTCAGGGAATCGGAGTTGGGGGCGGCTGTTCTACGAATTCGATCCAAGAACACGGCCCCCGGGCCGGACGGGGTTCCAGCCCGAGTGATGGCCCGAGCCCTCGACTACATGTCGGACCACCTCAAGGGGGTGTTGGACGCTAGCCTGGCGTCCGGACGCTTCCCTGAGCGCTGGAAATGCGGGAAGCTGGTCCTGCTGCAGAAGCCGGGACGGCCTGCCGATTCGGTCGCGGCCTATAGGCCTATCGTGTTGCTGGACGAGGCGGGCAAA